AATCTGTACGAGCAGAACATGAGTTTAGCAATAAAACAAACTCACAACACAATATCTGTTTTTTCTATGAAATATTTCTGCTTCAACATTAAATTTTTTCAGTAAGACAGATCAGAAACTCTTCTTTCGAGGGTCGTATTTCAATGAACATAGATATTCACATGCCTGTTTACAAGAGTTGCAGTAGTGTCAAACTTGAAAGCTGAATTCAACTATTCAACTATTCAATAATTGAATACTTGAATAGTACGTAGGTGAAGTTAGCACCATATTCGAGTAAAACCTTCCCATCTTCGCCTAGGAACGTGTTCCAAGTGTTCCAACCCGGTTCCAAGTAGAACTCGACGAGCTCTATCTAATGGTAACCTTGGATTTTTCATAGCCCAAACCAATCGTGAGAAAAATCCAAAATACTGGCCTTTTTCTATGGGAAAAGGCAAACCTACTTACTAAAACCTTCCCATATTCATCCAGGAACGTGTTCCAAGTGTTCCAGCCCGGTTCCAAGTACAACTCGACGAGCTCTATCCAATGGTGACCTTGAATCGATCGCAATCCAAACCATTGGGTGTGGGGCGTGGAGTGTGGGTAGGGTGTGGGGTGCGGGTGGGTGGGTGTGGGTGAGGTGTTGGTGTGGGTGTGGATGGGTGTGGGCGTGGGTGGGTGTGGGTGTGGGTGGGTATGGATGTGAAGTGGGGGTGTGTGCATATGGGTGTGCATGTCAAAAGAAGAATACGCTTAAATTCACATATGCACATCCACACCCAAACTCACACCCACACCCACACCCACACCCACCCTTTAATACACATACAATATCAACTCCACCATTATCAAATGTTTCGATTTCAAATGGAAATTCAACTCCGTCATTCGCAAACATTTATAATACAAATATAAATCCAACTTCATCGTCACCATATGGATATAATACTAATTCAAATCTACCACCAACAACTACCTATCCTATGAGTCAAAATCCATCTCCATCCAACGTTTATAATCCTCTTTCAGTAAAGATATGTTTTGTTCTATTTCTCTCTATATTCTAAATTTTTTTTTTGTTCTTTCTAGACATCTCAACCATCAATTCGTCCAATGTATCCTTCACCATCATCTGCTTATCGTCCTCAAGTATCACAACAATCATCTCAATTTATTTCATCAACAATTAATCAAACTGCTCAACCACCTTTACCTTCTCGTTCACCTCCTTCAACATTATCATCTACTTATCCCTATCCACAATATAAT